AGTGAGGTAACCACTGATCTTGTGAATTACCTGCTAAGAAAGAAAGATGAGGAGTCTACAAGTGACAAAACAGCAGAGGCATTGATTGTAAGAGGGAAGAATCCAAACTGGAAGAATGAGAAGTCACAGTCTAGAGTAGGGCATTCTACAGTTGGCAAAGATCAGTATGCTTGGTGTAAAGAAACTGGTCATTAGAAAAAAATTTATCCAAAGCCTAGTGATTGGATGAAGAACAAGCAGAAGGGAAAAGGAAAGCAACCATCATCAGAAGCAAACATCGTCATATCGGATGGTAATCTTTCTGACTCATATGTTTATTCGCTCTCTATTAGTCCCACAGTTTGCTATTCGGAGGAATCTGAGTGGATGTTGGATAGTGGTGTAACCTATCATGTGTACCCTAAGAAGGAATGGTTCTTCAGTTTTGAGAAGCTGGATAGTGGTGTGGTATACATGAGTGATAACCGTGCATGTCAGATCATTGGGATAGGTAAAATTTGCATCAAAATGTTTGATGGGATGGTTAGAGAGTTACATGGTGTGAGATATGTTCCTTCTTTGTGGAAGAATTTGATCTCGATTGAAGCTTTAGTTGGAGAGGGTCTGAAAGTTCGTATTGAGGACATGGTTCTCGAGATTGTGGAAGATTCTTTGATTGTGATGAAGGGCGTCAGGAAAAATAACCTGTACTATTTGATTGGAAATACGGTTACAGGTGGAGAGCTGACGACTTCTATTGATTTGACTAGACTACGGCATTTGAGGCTTGGTCATTCTAGTATTGATTTGGAAAAGGGTGCATCGATCTGCAATTTGAAGTCCAGTGAACATTTTGATGTGAGCACGAAGACCGAGGTGAAATTTGACACCTCTATTCACCGAGCTAAGGGTCTTTTAGATGGAGTTCACGTGGGCATTTGGGGGGCCTTCCAAGGAGGTATCATTGGGAGGTAATAGATATATGGTTTTCTTTGTTGACGATTGTTCTAGACATGTTTGGGTTACAACCAAGTCCCGTTTGAGTGAAGTCCTAGTAATCTACAACAAGTTGAAGAAGTGTAAGAAAGACAGAAGGATGAAGGTACTCCGATTTGATATTGGTAGGAGGTATAAGAGGGATCCGTTTCTGTATTCGTGCCGAGCTCAAGGCAATTGAAGACACTTCGTTGGAAAGGAAATTTTAGGAAAACTAGATGGGTTGACAAAGATTGAGAACTGTCCCATGTTGAAGAAGGAACAATGTTTGTTGTCAAGCAAGGATTTGCAGAAGAGTTTCTAGACTGAGGCTTTGATATTTTCGACTCATCTCATTAAAGGGTTGTCGACTGCTGCGATTGGAGATAAATCTCCATTGGATGTTTGGTCTGGTAGTGTCACTTCGGATGATGCTTCGATAAGAGAGCTAATTGACTCTCAATAGGTGGAGAGTTTTGGATAGACCTTAGATGTATTGCAGCAGGTGGAGGATAATGCTACTTCATATTGGGTGAAGATTACTCCACATACTCCAGATCATACTGTATCGTTTGGGATTCCAGCTGATGTGGCATAGTTTAGGGATCATGTTGATTTGGATGCAGATGATGAGTTGGTTGATTCGAGTGCAGCTGGTGGACATAGTTTAGATTTGGATACGACCATTGGTTCACCTCAGGTGGAGGTGTTTGATTTGTTTCACTTTGGAGCCATTGTGAGAGCCATCAGCCGTAATTTGTTGGTGAAGAGTTACGAACTCTTCTATTTGATTGAGGGGCTTTGGAGGCCATTTGGGGAACTACGTGAAGGCTTGATTTCTTGGGCAAAAGGATACGTAGGCAGTTAGTTTTGATGCAACCGATTTGATGAGTAGATACCGACGTTTGGATAGTGATCGCATTCTCATTTAAGTCTCGACTTGTTATGGATTGAGTTCGTTGTTGTGATTTTGTTTTAATTCGTACTAGACGTAACAAGTGAGACATTTGGTTTGGTTGGTGTCGGCTCAGTTTTGGGAAAACTTCACCGAGGTGAAGAATTATAGAATTTGGAACAACGGCGAAGAAGTTCAGGCAAAAAGGTGAAGGACAGATTTTGGGTATCTTGCGGTCGACCGCGAGTGGAGCGACGGTCGACCTCGAACGTGCATAGTATAGGGGAAAGTCTCTGGACTTTTTGTGATCGATCGCAGTGTCAGGTCCGGTCGACCGGCCAAACCTTGTAGTGATTATTGGTTTCTGTCGTTGGTTTCGGTCGACCACACGTGTCTCTACAGTCGACCGTGAGTCGAGTCTGGGCCTGCTTCGGTTTCCTACACTGTTTGGGTTTTTTATTTAATATAAATAGAAACATGATTTGTTTAGTGTTTATCGATCATATTGATTGAGTTTTGGGGTAGCTTAAAGGAGTGTTTTGAGCACAGAAAATAGAGTTCTTTCTGAGCAATTTGTTTGAGAGTTTTGTGAGAATTGAGAGTTTAGTTTGAGAGATTATTAGTGAGCTTTTGAGTGATCTTGTAATCTCTATTTTGTATTCTCTTTCTCTATAGTGAAAACTCATCCCCTTCTTGCCCGTGGACGTAGGCAATTTGTCGAACCATATTAAATTTCGGTGTTTGAGTTTGTGCTATTATTAGGTTATTTGTGTGCTTTCTCTCAGGGCAAATTTGTGAATCCTCAGAACACGCGCTGCGCCCCCAACAGGATTGTCCAAGGGAGGAAAAAAGAGATAAACTGCAGCACTTGATACTGTTAAATCAAGGTGTCTATCTAGCTATAGCACCACTGTCATGTTTTATCTTTGTAGTTGGTGTTGTCATGTTTCTGTCGAGAAGTTATCGTGTTGACTGGTGGTTATAATTTTACATATTAACATGTTCCAATTGATTAAGGACCCTCATTTGAGCAGAAATCTAGAATCGCATGGAAACAAAATTTTCTTTTCAAACCCGCCATAGGAATTCGTGAACACTCTATCAAAATTAAACTTAAGGGTACCGAGTATTTTGTACAATGTGATGTTATAGAGGGTCTATGTGTGTAGGCTGTCTAAAAATTACAATAGATAGTTGATCCCCCATCAAACACCGATGATAGAAGTTATAATCTGACGACTTTCAGAATGCTATAATTTGAAGACTTTCACGTAAATCGATGAATGTTACAATCTGACGACCTTCACAACAACCGATAAAATCTTTAGTTTAACAGCCTTCATAATCAACATTGGGAATTACAATCTGACAACTCTTATATTTTCGAGCAGCCAAGGTGAAGATCACTCAACAATGGTCTTTACAACGCTGTACAGAAGAAGTTATAAGTCATTAGCTCCTTCTAAAATACGGAATTCACCTTCGCGTTTCAGTTCTTGAAACGCAGGCAACCCCCGTGTTTCCAAACCTCAGCAAACAAAATGCGGGCGGCCCTCGCGTTTTTTAACATCCAGCGGGAGCCCAACTCCGTGTCTCCAGTCTAAAACGTTTCACCTTCACGTTTTTTAACATCCAGCGGGTGCCCAACTCCGCGTCTCCAGTCTAAAACGCGGAGTTAGGGTCCTGAACACCAACTTAGACGTTGTTTGACTCATTCAGCATGAGCTGAACGGTTTCAAAATCGTTTCCCACGATTTGGGGGCGGTTACACCCCACTTAGGAGTGATTTAAGGGGCGGTTACACCCCCTTAATCCCCTATAAAAACGAGTAAAGTCAACTGAGTTCATGGCTCTTTTTGGGGGGCTGACGGATTATCTTAGGATCCTTGAACATTTTTGGATCTGAAGAGCAGCAAAGGGCACCTCCTCTTTGATTTTTCGATCCTGGGGGCTTGGCAGCAAAGAAGATCCTTCGTCCTTCGGCTGGAGCTTTGGAGATCGGCAATAGGAGCTTTCTTTATCCTTGGCTTACAAACCGATTTCGGTTAAATCAACTCTTTCATAGAGTTTCAAACTCGTTCAGGACGTTCTCCACAGCGTCAAATCGTGAGGAGGAGATACCGTTCCAGTGAATCAAGACGTTCGGATCGTCAACAGAGAGCAAGCTCGACGCGAGCATTCGAGGGAGACACTCCATCGCTACCGTGAAGAACCCAGACTTAAACAAAGGGGAGAATTCAGATCAATTCTCCTCTCTTTTGTAATCAGGGAATCCAATTGTAATCGAGATTGAGAGGGTTGTAATCATTCTTTTTCTAAGCAGATAGAGAGAATAAATCAAATATGATTCTTTCATTATTTTTCTTATTATAAATTTTCCACCAAACAATGTGCACTTAACCCTATATTAGATATAGATCATTAATTTTGCACTAATAGATTCATGGATAAAAATCGCAGTTTCCATTTATATTTGGAATGATTATGATTTGTTTGAATGAAACAACGACTACAATTGACATGAAACGTTTTCATTTTCATTTTTGCCTGATTTCAACTATCTATTGGACTTTTTTTTTCTTTTTTACTAATTAGCACTATCCTGCACTAGCGAGGTGGCTTACAAGCACTAGCTCTTAGCACACCACATCCCGTTAGAACTCTCTGCAATGGAGCAAGCGACTCTGACTCTTTGAATAGGACCCTATATTTTTTTATCGAAAGATCAGAACCACTCGCTCATTTGGAGGCCATTATATTAGGGGATTCAGATCTTCTTCACTATAAAAAAAAATAGTGGAGAGATCACTACTTTTAATCTCAATCGTTGATTATTTAGTAAACGGTTATGATCGATACAATCTAAATCTAACACTTACCATACTCCCGTGTATTGCACGCATTCCTAATTTGCACTAAAAGCAAAAATCACAACAATCAATTAGATAATCAATGACTGTGATTATCTAGTGATCCCTCCACTATTTTTTTGTAGTGGAGAGGATCCGAATCCTATATTAGGACCCAGACTCATCATCGTTGGCAACCCATTTAAGCAAATGGGCTGTTCTATTTTGCCGTGTCACAATAACTAACACATAACTCTCAGCCATAGCTGCATCTTGAATTTGGTGGATAATGTAAAGCCAAGTGCCATTATAATCCAAAATCCGAAATCTACAAAATAGTCACATATCTATATCACCCCTGAAAAATCATCGTCAGCTCGAACCGTGGTTAACATAAAGCCAAGTAAACATAACCCAGATGGTTCTTCACTCTACAAAGCCGGCCTCAACCCCTCATACGTATACAACCAAAGTCCAATTCATTACACAAGACAATCAATGGAGCTCTATCTCCTCCTCATCCTCTCTCTCTTCATCTCATCCGTCCTCTACCTCCTCCTCCTGAACCTCAAAGCCAGCAAGCTCCCTCCGGGCCCACCGGCATTCCCCGTCATCGGCAACCTCCTCTGGCTCCGCCACTCCTTCTCTGAAATCGAGTCCCTCCTCCGCGGCCTCACCAAGAAGCACGGGCCAATTGTCACCCTCCACATCGGCCCGCTGCCCGCCATCTTCATCTCCGATCGGGCTCTGGCCCACAAGGCCCTCGTCGAGCACGGGGCAGCCTTCTCCGACCGACCCGCCCCCGTTCCCTCCATGAGGTTCATGAACAGCAACCAGCACAACATATCCTCCGCTTCCTACGGTCCTCTATGGCGTTTGTTGCGCAGAAATCTTACGTCCGAGATCCTCCAATCGTCGAGGGTAAAGCTTTATGCTGACGGCAGAGATTGGGTCCTCGGCGTTCTGATCAACCATCTCCATGCACAATCGAAATCTTCGGACAACGGTGGTGTGGTTGCGAAAGACAGTTTTCAGTTCGCTATGTTCTGCTTGCTCGTGCTTATGTGCTTCGGAGAGAAGCTCGACGAGAAGGGAATCAGAGAAATTGAAGTCGCACAGCGAGATTTGCTTCTTTATGCTCGATATCTCAATGTGTTTGAATTCGTTCCTAGGATTTCAAAGTACTTATTTTGGAATCGATGGAAAAAGGCGTTGGAGTTGCGACAGAAGCAGATGGAAGCATGCCTGCCGCTGATCAAAGCCCGAAGAGAGCACAAGAAACTGCAGAAAGAAACAGAAGAGAGATTCGTGTTCTCGTATGTGGACTCGATTCTGGATATCAAGCTACCGGAAGAAGGGGGTAGGAATCTGACGGAGGACGAGATGTTGACGCTGTGCAACGAGTTTCTGGTCGGAGGGACCGACACCACGTCCACCGCCCTGCAGTGGATCATGGCGGAGCTCGTCAAGAATCAGGAGATGCAGAAGAACCTCATCGAAGAGATCGAGAGCGTAACGAAAGAGAAGGTAAAGGAAGAGGATCTGCAGAAGATGCCGTATCTGAAGGCGGTGGTATTGGAAGGACTACGAAGGCACCCGCCGGGGCACTTCGTGTTGCCACACGCAGTGACGCAGGATATCAAATTTGAGGGATATGTGATACCGAAGAAGGCTGTGATAAATTTTATGGTTGCGGAGATGAGCACGGACGAGAAAATTTGGTCGGATCCGATGGAGTTCAGGCCAGAGAGATTCTTGGCCGGCGGGGAGGCAGAAGAGGTGGACATAACAGGGAGTAGAGAGATCAAGATGATGCCGTTCGGAGTAGGGAGGAGGATTTGCCCTGGGATCGGGCTTGCGATATTGCATTTGGAGTATTTCGTCGCGAATTTGGTGAGGGAGTTCGAGTGGAAGACGGTGGAGGGCGAGGTGGTGGATTTGTCGGAGAAGCCTGAGTTTACGATGGTGATGAAGCATCCGTTGCGTGCACGGTTGATCCCGAGGAGGAATTAGCTTAGGCTTGCACATTCACGTGACCTGTGTCATTCCCAAAATTGTGTCTAGCTAATTAAAATTGCAGTGTATAAGTTAGACGACGTTAGTGTGTGATCTTCATGTTGTTGTTCTTTTAGATAGTAGCATATATCTTTATTATTATAAGAAAAGTAATATAAAAGTATGAATTTGATAGAAATGAGTATGGATTCTATGAGAATAGTTCGAGCACGAAGTGTATTTTGAGGCGCTTCAATTTGGAGGGCTAAAAATTCCAATCGTCACATTTGTGTCCTTGTCTTTGTGAGTTTGTTTCGTTAAAATTTTTAAATAAAATATCGCGGAACTATGCTTCATAGTTTATCTAGAAAATAAATATATTTCTTTTTTCCGCACTTTTTCGGTATTACTTTGAAATTTATAGTTGAAGAAATCAATAACACAGGGCTATCTAGAATGACCCTGTTGAACTTGTTATTCATGATACTTTGCTTCAAACATTGAATCTTCTTCAATTAAAATAAAATAAATGAAAAGGATGCCTCAAACATTGAAATTTTCGAAATTTTCTTCAATAAAAAACAAAAGCAATTAAAATAAAATATAAATGAAAAGGATGCCTCGAACATTGAAATTTTCGAAATTTTCTTCAATAAAAAACAAAAGAAATGAAAAGGACATAATAGAAGTCATTTTCTCCTATTAACGTGGGTTTGAAATTTCTAGTGTAAACAATAATAAAAGTTCATTCAATGTTTTATAAGTATGTTAATTTATATCGAGATCTAGAAGACACGACATTCCGAAGTCTCCTTTTTTATAGGAAGAAATTTATTTAACATCTAACACAACGTGGAAGTAATAAACATCAGAATCCATCAAGGGGTATTCTTTGAATCCATAAAGAACAATCTCCGTATCTACGAAGAACTTCGAATCCACTAAGAAAACATAATAAGAGAAATTTTATTGATAAAGGTGATATGCCCCTTTGGGGTTACATGACTCTTCCTAAATAGAAAAGCAAACTAGACTCCTAATAACACTAGAATTACAAAGGAATAGAAAATATCAAATCTTACCCTAAACAAGACTCTATAATAAATAAAACAAATCATGAATCAAAATTGAATTTGTTTCCTAATTTAATTTGACACCAACATTTAATTTATTTCCTAATCTAAATTGACTCTAACTTTATTACTAAAAATAAACAAAAGGCTGATTATTTTTGAAATCTTATAAAAAACGAATGTTACTGATGGGATTGTGGGGATTCTGCTAAGATGATTGACCATGTTTCGTCGATATAGGCGATTTTCATATATAATATATTAGAATCCGCCTTTCGGATTGAGAGATATTATTGTTTCTCTGTGATCAGTCAATAATTTATCTGTATTCGTATTTTGCTCATGAAGATCTCAATTCTTCATGAATTTGATCGTTATGTGTCCTACATCAACATCATATAAACCGAGGTGCGTGCCATTTCTTCGGGGTAAAAAAAAACAGAGGAACTCGTCTTCAAGATAGAGAAAGCTTTGCCAATCAAATGAGACAACCTTTTTCAGACTCACAAAAAGATAAAAGAGAAGATAATTACATCTAAGGCTGTTTTTAGTGGGGGTGGGGGGTGGGGGGGATTCCCCCACTTACGTTTACTCTATTCTTTAGTTTACTTGAACCAATAGTTACGAGAATGAAATAGAGTTATAGGAGGGAAGTACGCTTGTTGCATAGATAGGAGATTTTATAGTGGAACTAAAAATAAGCTATCTATTACATGATTTATAAAGCCAAAATTCAGCAAGTAGAGCTGAATTTCGGATAACAATTATTGTGGTTAAACATTTTTTTTATAGAAAATGCATTTCTTAAAGAAAATTTATGGAAATGCATCAATTTCTTTATTTTCAAATCAACTAAAGGATTGCAATGATTTCATATTCTAAATTTTTTATATGTTTATTTATTTATTTTGTTATTTATTTATTTTTATTTTTATTATTGAGAGGAACGTTATTTGATTTCGCCAGTCATGTCGGAGATCCAATACTGAAGCAAGCAACGATAATAGTCAAAATATAATGATAATTAGTTGACGAATCTCTCTTGCAAAATGGCACTTACTAGGAAAAGACACTGAGAAGATGCTATTGCATTATCACAAAATAGACAATGTCGATAAACTTTCAGTCCATACTTCGCTAACCTTTCACTTGTAGGAAGATGATCACAATAATTGTTATCTTTGTAGTTAGTGTTGTCATGTTCCTATCTAGAAGTTGTGGTGGTGTTTGAGGGTTATAATTTTACATATTAACGTGTTCGGATTGATTACTGATCTCTTTATGAGCAAAAATCTATAATCACATAGAAATAAAATTTTCTTTTCAAACCCACTATAGGAATTCGTGAACGCTCACTATCTAGATTAAACTTAAGGTTACTAAACTTAACGTTACTAAGTGATACGTACAATGCGATGTTATAGAGGGTCTACGTGCGTATAACCCTATACTAGATATAGATCATTGATTTTGCACCAATAGATTCATGGTCAAAAATCGCAATCTTCCATTTATATTTGGAGTAGTTATGATTTGTTCTGAATGACACAACAACTATAGCTGACATGAAATGTTTTCATTTTCATTTTTGCCTAAGCAAGGGGCTATTTCATTTTTGCCCTATCACAATAGCAACTCATAACTCTTAGACATCGCCGCATCTTGAATGTGGTGGATGATGTAAAACTAACTGCTCTAATCCAAAATCTCAAATCTACAAAATAGTCACATAACTGGGCCCCGGATCCTCTACAGCTCAACTTGTAGAGAAAGCCTACAATGGGGCCTCACATCTAAATTAGAACCAATAATACAATGACAAATGGCTATGGGTTTATTTTACTTCTTAGCAACGGTTAACAGAAAGAAAAAGATAACACCATTAAGTTCCCTAAGCGGCTCCGTAAAAAAGACGGGAGCCGTCTTTTTCTCTTTCCTAGAAAAATTATCGAGAGGGTTGTATTTTTTCCAAAATACAGTGGGCGTGAGTTTTTTCACGGCAAAAAAAAAAATTCTTAGTTGGGGAAAAAATCAATATTGATACGGATCATTCTGTTTCTAACACCCAATTGCAATCTAATTCTTCAACTGATCGAGGAGCATGTATTGATGCACCTATCGCAGGAACGGAGAGGTAAGATATTTTATAACATCTATTGTCCCATTAAATTTATAAATTAAAACTTAATCTATTTATTTATTAGCTTGTAACACAAAAGACAATGTAAAAAGAAAAAAAGTAAGAATTCTTCAATACATATTAGACTTTTACATCTCAAATACATTCAGCGAATAGTTTTTCCCCCCAATAAGTTCATATATGTTTAAGTATGCACATTTACTATATTCTTGCTAGCTATTTTATCATATTATGTATTCATAATGTTTTGTATGCATCTGTTTTCTTTTGAGAGTTTAATTAATAATTATTATTTTTAGTGATCACACATTATTATGAAAATATTGTGACAAGTCAATGTTTGAAAGATAATTTATCCGATAATGACAGAGCACATAATCATGTGGAAATTATTTCCAAGCACTCCTTAGATGATGTCGTACAAATCCAAACCCCAAAGAAAAATAATAAAGAGATGAAGAAAGAACAAGAGGTTGGTATGGAATTCGAAAGGAAGGATGTTACATATGCTTTTTACAATGACTATGGTCGAGAAGTGGGTTTCAGTATCCGCAAAATTCAAGTAAAAAAGACTAATGGAATAGTGTTATTTAGAAATATTTGTTGTGCTAAAGAGGGATATCAGCATAAAGATAAACGAGAAGTCAAAGTGCTTCATCACATGCCATTTTCAAGAAGAGGTTGCAAAGCATGCATGCAGATCAGGTTATGGACAAATGGCAAATTCAAGATTGTCAAAGTAAAATTGACACGTAATTATCACTGGTAAAAAACATCGCATTCTAGATGAAATATTTTGTCTAGAATAGCCAGATTTCCGTCTAAGTTGATCATCCTAGACAAAATTCCGTCTAGAATGTCGGCCTAGTAAGTTCCCGTCTAGGATGTAGCTTTCTAGACGGAATTCCACCTAGAAAACCCATCCTAGATAGAAATACATCCTAGATGGATAAAAAAAACCCGTTTAGGATATTTCTAGATGGTTAAAATAACCGTCTAGGATATTTCTAGACGGAAATTCCGTCTAGGAAGCATCCTAGACAGAATTTCCGTCTAGAAATATCCTAGACGGTTATTTTAACCATCTAGAAATATTCTAGATGGGTTTTTTTTATCCATCTAGGATGTATTTCTATCTAGGATGGGTTTTCTAAACGGAATTCCGTCTAGAAATATCCACTCAATCCATATATGAACCTTTGAGCCAATAAGTAGAAGAATAGTGAGACTCTCCTTGTTACGGCTGGAGTTTGAAACTTGAGAGGTGAAGACTTTTTCTTAAGAAAGCTTAGAGGAATATCAGGAATTTTTCAGAGTAAAGGTTTGTAAAAGAACTATCTTGGCATCAAGAGGCCATTTATAAGCTTTCAAGGAAGAGTATAGAGGGATTTCAAAGGACGTGGTGATTTTCGAAGCGACCAGGCCAGATCCACTTTGAAATTTAAAGTGGTTCGCTCAATACACGAAGCACCACCCTCATTTAATGATTCGCGTCCTAATACTCGAAAAGTGGAAGATCCTCCCTTATATCCATGATACTTCGTCTCCCAAAAAGACGGTTCAAATCTTGGATAACGTCAGCCATGAATAAGTGAAGTTAACAATGGTGGTCAATAATGACAAGCCATGTCTCTAAAACAGAGACTTCTCAGTTTCTCATCCTCAGCAGGCCTGTATTAATCAGAGCATATTTTATTTCTCTCGGAGTCGATTGAAAGACGACTCCAAGTAAAAGGGGCCAACTGTTATGGTGTTCACTCACCCAAGATACGGATATTTATAAAATGATACAACAAGAATCCTAGTAAAACAAACTTAATCATTTGGCCGATTCCCACAGTCGTATCTCAGCCTTAGGGGAAGGAAAGCCCTAGTCAACTCTCAAGAGTTCTAGGCATTTGATTCCTCAGTCGAATTACAAGTCCTTGGCTCTTTATCAAGGTAAGCCCAAGGCACGACATATGGTTGAATCCTCCAGTGCAATTCGACCATCATGGCTAATTACAAGACATTGGTACCATATCAGGGATAAACCTAAGGTCCAATCACAGAGGCCTCGGCCCCACCAACTCATCAAGCCGACTCTCTGGTGTCGACACCAGAGGCGATATTGGTCGGCACGAGAGATCCTGACCTCCCAGGCAAGTCGACATCTTTATATCGACTCGAGAGACGGTTATTAGCTGAGACGATACGATATTCCAACCAGTCGGACAGGCCGATACTCCTGAGTCGACTCGAAAGGTAATGTCAGTCGACTCTATCATCGAGGACGACCCTATTTAGGCACTCGACCACTCACTGGGCAATTCTCAAAAATAATTGGAGGGACATTCTGCTACCAATTAAGTTGAGAACTCGGCCCCAACCCCAAGCCTCTATCCTAGAGCATATGTCGACATCGCATTCCACCTCGGACCAGCCTTATCTAGATTTTGGCCGATAGGTATCCATGACTTGTCAGCTCAATCACTTCCCGGAAAATGTGGAGACACCCTCTCCCATGACGAAGTGACTTCCCCTCTAGTCACCAGCCGACACCTGTAAAGCGAGGGATGATTCAGTATGCTCACGTGCCTTCTGTCATGCTATCAATCACTTTCCAAAAAATGCGGAGACACCCTCTCCCATGATGAAGTGACTTCCCCTTCAGTCGCCAGTCGATACATATAGAGCAAAGGATGACTCTCCTTCCAGCTCACACTTTGTCGCCGCCATTTGCATGGCCAAAGTAACCAATCTGCCATAGACATCCTCTTTATATACAAATGCTATTCGCCATAATGAAAAAAGAGGTTCGTAATCTAAAACTCCCTAATACATACATGGAACAAAAACAAGAACACACAGTTCTTCATATAGATAGAGGAGCTCACATAGATCCTTTGGGCAGAGATATTACCACCTTAAGAACCACATCGGTTCTTGACCTTTCCCTTCCCCACTCGAGTTTTACTAACTTGACCATCAGAGGAACCACGGGGGAACCGGTTCCCGCCCTCTTACAGGTTCTTCTTGTCTGTGCAGCGTGGACATCAAACCCTCGTTCAAGAATCAGGCATAAAGTTGAAGAAGGGAGCGGACCCTCCATCATCCTTCATTACCCCGCAACCATCCTCTTCTAGATTATTCTGTTTGATATTGAGCATCAACACCAGCCGACACCTGTAAAGTGAGGGATGACTCAGCACGTCAGCGTGCCTTCTGCCACGCTTTCAGTCACTTTCCAGAAAATGTGGAGACACCATCTCTCGTACCGAAGTGACTTCCTCTCCAGTGGCCAGCCGACACCTGTAAAGCGAGTGATGACTCAGCTCTTAGCCCGCACTTCATCATCGCCTTCCTATTCTAGGCTAGAAGTGACCTGTTTTATCCCGACAACGGAGATATATACAGATATACTCCTAACCTAAAAGGAGGCCAAGCTCAAGCTAAGGCGACCTCTCTCTCTCTCTCTCTCTCTCTCTCTCTCTCTCTCTCTCTCTCTCTCTCTCTCTCAAAAGAGAGAGAACGCACAGTTCTTCGTCTACATAGAGGAGCTCGCGTAGATCCTCTGGGCATGCACATTGCCACTTCAAAAACCACCTCGGTTCCTGTCCTTCCCCTTCCCCACTCGAGTTTCACTAACTTGACCGTCGGAGGAACTACGGGGGAACCGGTCCCCGCCCTCTCACGGGTTCTTCTTGTTTGTGCAGCATGGACATCAAGCTCTCGTTCAAGAACTATGCATAAAGTCAGAGAAGGAAGCGATCCCTCCATCACTCTCCCCTACCCCGTCCCGGCGAGGACCCGGGGGGGACCGATCCAGTTCCGAATCAGAACCGATCCCAGCCCGAATCTGATTGACTGTTTGGTCACGGTCATCAACATATATTTATTCTATTAATTTTATTGATCAATGAATTATAGTATAATTATTAATAGTATTTTAGTAATATAGTGTTCTATTTATACTATGATTTTAATTATGTTATTATAATTCATAAATAATTATTATAATAATTTAATTGGTTACTACTAATAATTGTGTATACTTATTTTATAAATTATTTCATTGTATTACTTTTAAATAAGTAATAGTTATAATATTATTGATAGTTATAATTATTTAGGATGTGGAGGAGGTTCATAATTAATAAAGAGGTTTTATTTATTTAATGATAGATTAATTAGAGATAATTGCATGCTTAGAATATATCAAAATTTGAGAGAGAGAGAGAAAAAAAAGAAAATTAAAAGTTTATTTAATATCACAATCCTCTTTTTATAATAGTATAGGTATTGTCTTATTTTACAATAATTTTATCTATTAATTCGGTTGAAATTTTATTGTTCAAATTCTCATGAATAGGAAGCTATGGTTTCCAGCTCATCCCAAAGTTCATCACAAGGAACTTTTATGTCAAATAAAGGTAATCAAGCTTGGATTTTTTTTTTATATAATCAAGCTTCCATTAACTTTGGAACAACTATTCTAACAATTTTGAGATTTTTAAGGAGTAAGAATCGGTCGGCGCGCATCAAAATATGCTCGTTCAGGGTAATCAAACAGTTAAATCACCATAGAGAAAGTTCAGGTACTTTGACTTGTTCTAGCAACTTCTTAGTGACCTACTTACATACTTATAATTAATTAGCTTTATTCATGTGTTTTTTTTTTTTTTGTGCGTGTATTATATTTGCAGGTGAGTCAGGTGACGAAGAGAGTGAATGACAAGCGAGTGCCCCTGCTGCACAGTGATGACGAAATTAATAAATGACGAACGAACGAGCGCACCTGCCCCGTGACAATTAGTGCTTACGCCCCTCTACGAGGGCGATATGCGTCACGTTCTCCTCCGCAGTACCACGGAGGGGTGCTGCATCTTGCCTACTCCGTGAGTAGGCAAGAATTTCTCCGCATAATGACGACGCAGTGGAAGAGTAATCGGCTCTAATTTAGATGTGGGGTCCGATCGTACAAGTTGGGTCGCCGGAGCCGCAGAAACTATGTCGCTCTCGGAATCGCCGTCGCCCTCCTACAAAACCTCAAGCCCTCAGCTGGCACATGCATCCAGTCCAAGCCATCACTACTACACAAGACAATCAATGGAGCTCTATCTCCTCATCATCCTCTCCCTCTCCATCTCATCCGTCCTCTACTTCCTCCTCATCAACCTCAACGCCCGCAGGTGGAGCCCATCCTCCTCGACCTCACCAAGAAGCACGGGCCAATTGTCACCCTCCACATCGGCCCGCAGCCCTCCATCTTCATCTCCGGTCGGGCTCTGGCCTACAAAGCCCTCGTCGAGCAGGGGGCAGCCTTCTCCGACCGACCCGTCCCCCTTCCCTCCATGAGGTTCATGAACAACCAGCGCAGCGTATCCTCCGCCGCCTACGGTCCTCTATGGCGCATGCTACGCAGAAATCTCACGGCGGAGATCCTGCACTTGTCGAGGGTAAAGATTTATGCTGACGGCAGAGATTGGGTCCTCGGCGTTCTGATCAACCATCTCCATGCACAATCGAAATCTTCGGCCGACGGTGGTGTGGTTGCGAAAGACAGCTTTCAGTTCGCTATGTTCTGCTTGCTCGTGCTTATGTGCTTCGGAGAGAAGCTCGACGAGAAGGGGATCAGAGAAATTGAAGTTGCAGTGCAGGATTCGCTTATGTATAGTCGATATCTCACTGTGCTTGCATTCCTTCCTAGGATTTCAAAGTACTTATTTTGGAATCGATGCAAAAAAGCACTGGAGCTGCGACAGAAGCTGATGGAAGTATGCCTGCCGCTCATCAAAGCCCGAAGAGAACACAAGAAACAGCAGAAAGAAACGGAAGAGAGATTCGTGTTCTCGTACGTGGACTCGATTCTGGATATCAAGCTACCGGAAGAAGGGGGTAGGGATCTGACGGAGGACGAGATGTTGACGCTGTGCAACGAGTTTCTGGTCGCAGGGACCGACACCACGTCCACCGCCCTGCAGTGGATCATGGCGGAGCTCGTCAAGAATCAGGATATACAGAAGAAACTAATCGAAGAGATCGAGGGCGTAACGAAAGAGAAGGTAAAGGAAGAGGATCTGCAGAAGATGCCGTATCTGAAGGCGGTGGTGATGGAAGGACTACGAAGGCGTCCGCCAGGTCACTTCGTGTTGCCACACGCAGTGACGAAGGATATCAAATTTGAGGGGTACTTGATACCGAAGAAGGCTGTGATAAACTTTATGGTGGCGGAGATGAGCACGGACGGGAAAATTTGGTCGGATCCGATGGAGTTCAGGCCAGAGAGATTCTTGCCCGGCGGGGAGTTGCATTTGGAGTATTTCGTCGCGAATTTGGTGAGGGAGTTCGAGTGGAAGACGGTGGAGGGCGAGGTGCTGGATTTGTCTGGGAAGCAGGAGTTTACACTGGTGATGAAGTATCCGTTGCGTGCGAGGTTGATTCCGAGGAGGAATTAGCTTATACGGTTTGCATATCTACACGGTTTGTGTTGTTCCTAAATGTTGCGTCTAAAATTGCAGTGTATGAGTCGGGCGGCGTCAGTATGTGATCTTTATGTTGTCGCGCTATTATGTAGTAGTATATATCTTTACTATTATAAGAAAAGGAAAATATAAATGTTTGAATCTGAGAGAGGAATGAACATGGATTGTATGAGAATAGTTTGAGCACGAAGTGTATTTTGCAGCGCTTCAATTTGGAGGGCTTAAAATTCCAATCGTCACATTTGTGTGCTTCTATTTGGGGGTTTGCTTCGTTAAATTTTTTAAATAAAATACTAGGGAACTATGCTTCATAGTTTACCTCGAAAATAAATATATTTCTTTTTTCCCGCACTTTTTCCAATATTACTTTGAAATTTATAATTGAAGATACCAAGAATATAGGGCTATCAAGTATGACATTTTTGAGCTCGTTATCCATGATAGTTTGCTTCAAAAGTTGAAATCTTCTTCAATAAAAACAAAAGAAATGTAAAGGGTGCTTCAAGCATTATGATGTAGTAAGCGTAACGAGCAAATTCATGGAGAAGTGGGGCTTTCACGAGTCAAAATGCAGGTACGGATGAACTATTGACTGATCGTAAAGAAACAACCATATCTCCCAATCCAGAAAACGGATTCTAACATATTTTATATGAAAATTGCCAATTTCGACGAGACAAAGTCAACCAGCTTGGTAAAATCTCACAATCTCATCAGTAACACCCATTTTTGGCAGGTTGTTAAAAATAATCAGTTTTTAGTTTATTTTTAGTAATAAAGTTAGAGTCACTTTAGATTAGAAAATAAATTTAATGTTAGAATCAAATTAAATTAGGAAACAAATTCAATGTTGAGTTATGAATTGTTTTCTCTGTTATAAGGAGTTTTTTAGAGTAGGATTTGATACTTTCTATTTCTTTAAAATTCTAGTCTTGTTAAGAATTTATGTTATTTTTCTATTTAAGAAGAATCATGTCACCCTAGAATGATCAGATCACTTTTATCAATAAAATTTTTCTTATTATATTTTCTTTGTGGGTTGGAAGTTCTTCGTGGATTCAGAAATTGTTTTTTGTGGATTTAAAGAATGCTCATTGATAGATTTCGAGGTTTATTACTTACGTGTTGTGTTACATTAAAACCTTCTTTAATACATACAAAAGAAATAATAGAAGTCTTTTTCTTCTGGTGGGTTTGAAATATTTATTGTAAACAATAATAAAAGAACAAAAGAAATGAAAAGGACAGAGTAGAAGTCTTTTTCTCCCGTTAAGGTGGGTTTGAAATTTGTAGTGAAAACAAAAATAAAAGATCATTCAAATGTTTATATGTTATTTATATCGAGATCTAGAAGACACGATATCAAAGTCTCCATTTTTCTAGGAGGAAATTAATTAACATCCTATAGATCCAACGGTGCATTCCATTTCTTTGAAGAAATTCTTGCCTACTCTATGAGTAGGCAAGATGGCTACACCCCTCCAATAAGAAAGGAACATGTGACACTAGAAGGAGAGAATGAAACATCACATTCTCCCGACTACTAATATATATATATATGCATTCCAACCCCTACCCCGGTCACCTAAGAATTTCTCCTTTCTTTGGTGGGTACATCTAAGACTGTTTTAGAAAAAAAAAAATTTCCCTACTTACGTTTGTTCTTTATTTAATTACTTGAACCAATAGTTAGAATTTTAAGTCTTTCAATCTATCTACTTAGCTTTTTTTTTTTTTTTGGGTGTGTTCAATAATGAAATAGAGTTATAGAAGAGAAGTACATTTGTTGAATAGATAGGAGATTTTATAGAGTGGAACTAAAACATAAGCTACCAGTTACATGATTTGTAAAGCCAAAATTCAGCGAGGAAAGCTAAATTACGGATAACAATTATTGTGGCCCAACACTTTTTATAAAAATGTATTTTTTAAAGAAAATATTTTGGAGATGCATTGATTTCTTTCTTTCAAAATCAACCAAAGGATTGCATTGATTTCATATTCTAAATGTTTTGTATGTTCATTTATTTTGTGTTATTTATTTATTTTTATTTTCTTTTATTAGAGGAACGTTTGATTTCACCAGTCATGTCAGAAATCCAATACTGAAGCAAGCAACAATAATAGTCGAAATTTGATGATAATTAGTTGACATATATCTATTGGGCAAATGTCACTTCATATATATATATATATATAATATATATATAGTAATATATATATATATAATATATATATATATATATAGGGAGAGGTTTTTTCCCAAAATGCGCAAACCTCACTCATCGCTAAAGAACTTAAAAACGCTATCCAGCTCCGTCTTGGATTGGGATTCATTCGATGGGCTTGATGATTTAAGACATTAATGCTGGCATAAGGGTAATGCAGGTAATTTATCAAGCTATCCAAAAGAGAGGTAATTAAATGTGACTCGTTGAGTTCCCAGAAAGTCACACCTCTCATCAGGTAGCACGACCGCCGCATCTTCTTCTCTCGTCCATCTCTTCTTAATTCAGATTCCATCACGACCACCACGCCCGCATCAACGTCCTATGCCAACGACGCCGACCAGTACGGGCCGTCCGCATGAGCTCGAGACTGTGCCGCCTCCAGCTACGCCGGCCGCTCCCCCATCCGCCCCTCATGGCGCCTGACTCGTCCCGACCCTTCAGGCTGCACAGCGCGACTCCTCCCAAGCCGCGCCTCCTCTCGTCGTGCGCCTCGTCACGCTCCAGCGCACACCCATCGGCCGTCCTCATGCCGATTCAACCACGTCCGAGCGTCCGCATCTCGAACCAAATCCCCGCCTCCGGACCTCGACCGTCATCCCTCCCACCACGTCAGCTCTCGACAGCGCAGGCGCCGGCTCCCACGTGCCAGCTACCGGCCGCTCGCAACCTGGCCTCGACGACCTCCGCGCCATCTGCGATTCACAGCAGTGGAATGCTGGACATTCACATCAGTGAATTCTCGGATTCACATGATGCTCGACACCAGGCAGTGAATCGCGATTCGACTGAGCAGTGAATCCGACAACGAGTTCGGATTACACGTGGAGTGAATCGCGATTCACTGAGTGAATCACGAGTGATGCCAGACATGAGTGAATCCAGATTCACTGAGTGGAATCCAGATTCACGGTGATCCAGTTGGCAGTAAATCGTCGATTCCACTCAAGTGAATCGGGATTCAGCTGCAGTGAATCCTGGATTCACTCAGTGAAATCTGGATTCACTCGGCAGTGAATCGCGATTGCAACTGGCTGTGAATCGATGTTCATAGATGTGACGAGATTCCACGCTGGCAGTGATACCAGATTCACGTAGCACAGGCGAAAGCTTGGATGGTTAAGGATGGTTTTTAGTGGAATCGCATAAAAGTTTTTCTTATTGCTTTTTTGTTTTTTATATTTTGCAGGATTTGCTTTATTGTTTGATAACGAGTTTCAGTTTCACGTGAATCTTGGATTTCAATTTAAGTGAATCTGGATTCCACTCAGCGCTTCGTTGCGTCAGAGCGGCTTCGGTTCGTCGGAGGGAGCTCAGGGGCAGTGGAGTTTGGAGGTAGCTCGGTGAGGAGTTAGTGGTGTTTGTGGTGGTGAGAGTAGAGGAAGAAGAGTTTAGGGGGCGTGGTTCAAGCTTTTGGGAATGGAGGAGAGATTAGAGGAGAAGCGTGAGAGGAAATTTGTCTATAATGTAAGAGAGAGTATTAAAAGGAGCGTGTATTAAATTTGTATCATGTTGGCGCAATGTAATCAGTCACGCATTAATGCAATGAATTGTTGCGGCAATTTTTACACGCCTTTTCACAATTAATTTTATGCAAGTGCTTTAATATTGTCTATAATTAGCAATTCTGCCATCGAAATCTAGGGCCAATTGATTAGATAGATTGAGGGTTAAGGATGGTTTTAGTTCTCGTAGGTTTTTATTAGAACCGTCTACGCTATAATATATATATATATTATATATATATATATGTATATATATATATATATATATCATATATATATGTGTGAGAGAGAGAAGAGAGAGAGAGAGAGTAGAGAGAGAGAAGAGAGAGAGAGAGAGCGAGACCTCATAAAGGGCAACAATACGAACTTAACACGCAACAACATCAAACTTGCGCGCTACGGTTTCACACACATTGTTGGCGCCTCAGCACTACTTGATGATATGTCATACCACAATACAAATCATGTGAAAATGCAAACAAGCTAATTCCTCCTCGGAATCAACCGTGCACGTAACGGATACTTCATCACCACCGTGAACTCCGGCTTCTCCGTTAGATCCACCACCTCCTCCCCCTCCACCGCCCTCCACTCGAACTCCCTCACCAAATTCGCGACGAAATACTCTAAATGCAACATCGCAAGCCCGAGCCCGGGGCAAATCCTCCTCCCTACTCCAAACGGCATCATCTTTATCTCCCTACTCCCCGTTATATCCACCTCTTCTACCTCTCCGTCCACGAAGAATCTCTCCGGCCTGAACTCCGTCGGATCCGACCAGATTTTCCCGTCCATTCCCATCATTGCCACCATAAAATTTATCGAAGCCTTCTTCGGTATCACATATCCCTCAAACTCAATATCCTGCGTCACTGCGTGTGGCAACACGAAGTGCCCCGGTGGGTGCCTTCGAAGTCCTTCCAACACCACCGCCTTCAGATACGGCATCTTCTGCAGATCCTCCTCCTTTACCTTCTCTTTCGTTACGCTCTCGATCTCCTCGATGAGCTTCCTCTGTATATCCTGATTCTTGACGAGCTCCGCCATGATCCACTGCAGCGCGGTGGATGTGGTGTCTGTCCCCGCGTTCATAAACTCCGAGCAGAGCGTGACCATCTCGTCCTCCGTCAGACTCCTTCCCCCTTCCTCCGGTAACTTGATGTCCAGTATCGAGTCAAGATACGAGAACACGAATCTCTCCTCCGTTTCTGTATCCCGCTGCTTTCTGTGCTCTCGCCGAGCTTTGATCAGCGGTAGACACACCTCCTTCTGCTTTTGTCGCAGCTCCTTCGCCTTCTTCCATCGCTTCCAGAAGACGAACTTCGAAATTGCGGAAAAGAAATTGAACACGCTGAGCCGACGAGTGTACAGAAGGAAGTCCCGATGCGCGGTTTCGATCTCTTTAATCCC